TATTGTAAATATTACTCATAAATTTAAAGCAGATGCCCATAAGACGGTTTGAAGTGAAAAGAGGAAACCACTGACGAACAACAGCTTAAAGCCAAGTGCAAACTTCACTCTCAGCGTCATCACCTCAAGAACGATTTACAGGAATGATGAGGGAAGACTATTTTTGTCGCATCTTATGACATATACCATGTAGGTAGATAGAATTACAACAGGGTATGATAAAACCAACATCTGACGACGAATTTTTGATAGAATGCTTCTTACGCTAAATTGAGGTTTTCACTACAGAACAATTATACAACATTAAATGAAAAAATCTGGATAGTAAAAAATTATTTGATGAGGGCTTTCAGTAAATTCGGAAACTTTAAGATTTAATGGCATACACTTTTTTGATTCATGCTAATTTTGTTCTATCTTTCTTCTTCACTTTAGACATGATAATTTAGATAACTTTGTTTTAAAGTAAAACCCCAAGGCACCTAACACTATTTGATTCTCTTTAACAAGTTACATGACGAGGTGAATATTAATAAATTATCACATCAGTTAAGGCGAGTTACAGACGTAGAGTGCATTTATCAGACAGACTGGTCGAAAGTTGTTTCACAATCTCTAGCCACACAAAAACACACTTCTTTCCATACTGACGTTCAAACACTTGCAATCTGCTTTACTGGTTGGTTGCAACGAAGCAATGAATTGTGAGTTCGTTTAAAAAAGAATATTTAGCGCTATTCATGGGACTCAAATTCAGCGCCCAATGTACAGAGTAATATCTACCACACGCTAGTTTTTCTGTACACTTTATAAACTTCGACAGGCTATTATGAGCATGTTTTAAACACTGTCAACATTTTAGTCTCCTTCGTCCGACATTAACGTAAAAATGGTAATCTTAAAGCTATTATCTTCCGGCATTCCTGCTGTTTATCCAATCAGACACTCTTATTGTTCATCTCTCACCATTTTTACTAAAATACGTTCAATCGATTCGAAATAATACTATATAGAACATTTCAGGAATGCAACGTAAAACATGGATATACCAAGGGAATAATTTACGACAACCGGAAGTGACAAGACATTTGATTAAATGAAGTTAACTCGCAAACGAAAGTATATAAACGTTCTAGCAATGCAGGAAATGAGAGATTACTAAAACGTTTTCATTTTATCGAACAGGCTAACGAAAAAGAATAGATCAGAATAAGTTCTGAGATTATCTTAATCGACAATGAAGAATTTCCGCTAACATAGGAGGTTCACTATTTTGATGAATCCTTTCTGTTCCCAAAAACCTTTTTACGGCTTTAAATAACCAGTCATATCATTACCCACAATCGAAAAGCCGTTCTGGTTCTAATCTGTGCAGTTTTTATCGACTGCCATTATCGAACAGAACTGAGTGGTCGTCGTGTTGCAAAAAATTTCATCCAACTAGCTGTAGAACATCATGACTACGGCCACAGCCAATGCTGCCAGGAAAAACTTGTGAAAAAAACGAGCAACGTCGATCTATTTGCACATATAATGAATACGATTAATTCGAAATTTCTTTTACATTTCAGACAGAATAGAAAATATCATATAACAGCATCTAAGCAATGGATAAAAACTGAAAACTGATAAGCTAAAGGTACAGAGTGAAGCGCACATTTTGAATAACCCCTTCTAATGCCCGAATTATGAAGAACCCATGAAACAGCTTATTTGCTGATGGAACATTGAGAAAGTCGACCAACTCAACTATGTCGAATCTATCATCTCCGGCGGATGGCACCATTCAATCAAAGTCAATAGAGAGGATTGTCCTCGCCTCCAATGTCTTTGATAGACTGTACAATAATTCGGTTGAGATAAAATAACTTTTCACATAATCCACCTGTAACTTGCCTTTATCAGGTCAGTGGTGTTGTTGACATGGAGACAATTGTTCGAACGAGAAAGAACAACGTTTGAATTGTGCATTGCAGAGTCGGCCTCAATGCAGTATGATGGTTCAATGAGACGACCATGTCCTATTCAGGACACAAGTATCTCAAGAGATGTGGAAATTCAGAAAAGGAGGTCGGCTTTCTTACAAAAACTGGTCGAAAATACGCCATTTACTTCAGCTCGTGTGAGAGTCGAAACACGACAGGTATCGACTAGGAGGACAGTATGCAACATTCAGAGAAACAAGGTAGAGGCAGATCTCGTTCACTGAGAGGCAGTTCCTTCTACGATGCAATAAACAGCACCTCCAAGCAAAATGGTTGAAAAGCAATGGATGCACTGTACATCAGATACCAGAAAAGTTTTGCTGGTGGAAGCTACTAATGATCATCTTAAGCACATGAAAAAATAAAGTTCTGTATTAATCAGACTTAAGAGCTCGAAAATTCTTTCGGTCCCTTGAATTTCAAATCAGTCTCTGTGCGGTTTACAACTTTAAATTATAAAAAACGTACAGTCTGGTCGACCGTAAACAAAGGAGATCAGAACTCGAACAGAGACAAAAAAACATCAGCATCATCAACACGGGTGGTTTCGCGTTAGCTGCCATGGGTTCAATTACGTTCGCAATGTATTCGGTGCCAGTAACCGAGGAAGGAACGAAAGATTTACACGTATGAGCGACGACGACGCCAGGAGCAGATACAAGCATCGGTTTCTGCAAGCCATCAGGCATAATCGACAAATGAATAGATGTTATCAATTCGATCTACATGTCCAATCACTTCACTTTTCATTATTTTTACTCTTCTGCTGAATCATCCCTTGAAGGTTCTCATCGAGATAGCAATCATAACAGTGTAAAAAAAATAATTTCCCTGCAAGTGAGCGAGTGAGTATCGCGGCCATGACTGCTGCCGAAACAGTTGACGTAGAACAAAAACTACTTCATAATGA